CGAACTGACTGGAGTATAGGATTGAAATTTGTTATCTGTGTGTTTTTTTTTTGTTTTTTTTTTTTGTTTTATTCTTTTCAATTTTTTTATTTCATTTTTTATTTTTTTTTTATTTTTTTATTTTTTTTTATTTTTTATTTATTTTATTAGTGCTTTTAGGATGCGAATGCTCTTATATAAAATCTTAACTTGCAAAAAATAATTTATTTTATATTAGTTTTAATTTGATTAACTTAATAAATGAAACATATTAAATATGGCATATAATTTTTTATTTTTTTATTTAATTTATTTATTTTATTTCTTTATTATTTCTTTATTAAGTTTTATTTATTTGTCTATATAGTATTTTTTAATTTATTAATTATTTATTATTTAACTTACATATTATTTTTATTTATCATACTAATTTAATTAAAATTAAATATTATAATTGTTAGGGGCTATGAATACTCAGTATTGTTCTGCGCATAAGTCAATTCCTTATAAATTAGTATTCGGACAGCTTCCCCACTGCGATACTAATTTAGTTGATATATTAGAAAGTGAGGAGTCATTAAACAACCAAACTCTAATATCTGAAGGCTCCCAATCGACTATAGTTTCTGAAATTAGCAGTGATACAGTTTCAGAATCAGAATTTTCTAGTATTATAGAACAAGTTCAAGAAAATTGTAGCAACATTGATGGTGCAGATGAAATATGTAGTGATAATGATGGTGCACAAGATATCGATGATGATAGTGCACAAGAACTTTATAACGATTTATTATCGTTATATTGTTCTGAAATTGAAGAGGGTTCTAAAAATACACCAGTTTACAAAATTGTTGAAATTATTAATTCAGATGATGATTTCGAAGTTGGAGAGTGTTCTAAAAACACATTAGTTCCACAAATTATTGAAATCATCGATTCTGATGATAATTCAGATGAAAATCGACATTATACTTCGCAAGAAAAAAAAAAGTGGAAAGTTCAATCAGAAGAAACTAAGGTTAATTAAATTACTATATTTATTAAATAAATAAATAAATAATAATAAAAATAAAAAAAATAAAAAATCAAATAAAAAATAAAAAAAAATAATAAAAAAAAATAAAAAAAAACAAAAAAATAAAAAAAAATCATAAATAAAAATAAATCAATAATAAAAAATATTAATTGTCAGTTTTTTTGTAGTCAAATTTAACCCGTCCATCTTTCGAAAACCATGAAGTGATTCGACAATCAGCAATTTTAAGCATAAAGAGAAACTTGGAGCTTATAAAAAGTAGAATGGAAGAAAGATATAAGGTTAAACATAGTCGAACATTTGAACTTGGTGATTTCATAAAAATTCATATACCTGACATTGATAAGAATAAAATGAGTCGAAGATCCTTACCCTGCAAAGTGCTTCAAAAAAAACCTAATATTGACTCTATCAAGTTGCTTGCCAGTATGGAATACTTGAACATTGGTATCCGGCAAGTGAACTTGAACCACTTGGAACTCCTGATTATCCCTCTCTTAACATAGTTCCTCTAAACAAAACTATTTCATTGAGACAAGCAAGTTTTAAACAAAACAATGAACTATCCTC